AGGAATGGCTTACCGGAGTAACAAATGCAGAAGGTACTCGACAAATAGGGCATGTTCTAAGGAAGGAAAAAACAGAACGAGAATTATCTTCTAATATCACTAGAAGAATGCTAATTTCAATTAAGATTTCTGTCATCTCTTTTTTACGATCCTGGTTGTAACACAAAACTGACTTGAACCTAATAGTGGCCTCTGCTTCACAGCGTATCAGCGTATATTTGATATACTACAAAACAGATGAGACGCCATATTTTTTTATTAGACGGACTAAATTCACCATTTTCCCCCTGCCCATAATACGCGCACCTTGTTTACCCCCCCCCCCCCCCCCCCAACATTTTTCATAACCATTGCCTTCAATTTCTCCTGGGTATTACAGTAGTCCCAAGGAAAATTAACGACAACGCAGCGGGGGGCGGGGGTAAATAAGGTGTATTACGGTTTGCCAAGTCCCTCCACGGCGTCTTTCCAGGCCTTCTCGGTCAATGCTTTTCGGTGACGTATCCGAGACGTACGGCCGGGAGAAACACAAATCGCTCGGACCACGTGACCCGAAACGCATAGGCCGCGCGGAAAAATGAGGCCTGGGGACAAGGAAGTAACATGGTAATGGTGAATAGTTACACATCAATTAAAAGCTTGAGCTTGGATTGTTCCAAGGACGTCTTACAAGGACCCTCTTCAAAGGTTAGAAGTCAGAGTTCATTCCGCAACGAAAACTGCACCTTTTAATTTTTAATTGTGATCATTAACACGTATCGCGTGTGTCTCTGCGAAAACAGCTGTTTCTCCTCGCCCTTCGCCGCTGAGGACATTTCGCGAGGCAGGCTAGTGTGTCGAATACTTAGTTTCTACAAGTCTGAAAAGAGTGGACAATCGGCACCATCTTTTTACGGTCAAGAGGGTGGGATCTACGAGGGAGTTCCCCGCTGTTTTTCAACTGAGCTGCTAGGATTCATCTAAGTATCATTACCTGACAACCTTGTTTGTTGATAGAGATGTGTTTCTCCAGCGACGAATACACGACAAACAGAAAGCATGGTTACAGTCAGCTAAAACAAAAGAATAATTACCTTTAGTCAGATTTCTTAACTCCCAGGAAATGGGTGAACCAGGAAACACTGATCTTGCAACATTACATTGTTGCAGAAGCAAATATTTCCAACTTTTACTTCGCGAAAATCGAATGTTGCGATTCCAGGGCGAAACAGTAATTACTTAATTCACACTTCCCGGACGCAAATTTTGCATCCGATGAAATGTTTGTTGGTTTAGTCACATAAGAAGAAACAACGTTTCTGCAGCAACATTATTTAGTTTAGCTAGTAACCAACAAATTCAGAAGAGATAGTCCCGCTTTTTTTGTTGTTTTGATTCTTTTTTCGTTGGGATAGTACTCCTAACAAGAATTAATGTTCCAGTGATTCTTCTTTTGATACAAGTTTCAGGTTTTCGCGGACATTTTTCTGCAAAGGAAATTACTTTCAATATAAAAACGTAAAACCATTATATTCAGCAGAGTCGACTCCATTCGTTGAAGCGTGCCAAGATTTATAGAAGAGGATACTTCCCTTCCACAACACCATACATGACTCGCTTCTCTCGTATTTAATCCCTCTACTTTAAATCAAAACAACCGCAGTACAATACCACAAAACTACTTACTTAGAATTCCAAATCTCTGTTCGCTAGGGATTTCTTTTGACCGCACTACCTCTAAACAGATTCCACAAGCCACACCCTCGCTCCTGCAACAAAGCAAAAAAGAAAATAATTCACATAACAAGTTAAATCAAAGGGCTAACTGAGTTGAATTGCGAATGCTAAGCATGTACAGTGGCTTGACTCTATGAAAAAAAAAACTTTTAAATTGCGGTTTCAACTGATTACAAAATTTATTTTTAATTTTATTTTTACTTAAATGTATTTAGGAGGTGCTTATTTTAAAAGAAAACAATCGCAACAATTTTTAAAGCAGTTTTTAGGTATCCACTATTTCTTTCATCTATGATAAAAAAATTATACTCATCTGAAGAATGGTTTTGACCCGGGCTTAACAGATAAGCAACATTTACACTTTAATTGGTAATTAAAAATAAATTAATTATATCTGTTCAGTAAATCATCACATTCTAATACCATTCTGTGTGAAGAAAGGATGATTCTGCGGATTTTCGAGACGTTGCGTTTTGAAAATAGAACGTGCATATGAACTGAGATAAGTTAATGACCCTGTCTAGCAAAAATCAGCTTTTTTTAGACTTCATTGGCTAGGTGTAAGAATCAGATACGGTTAACTCCAATAAAAACCAAAGGCGTTAACAATATTACTTACAAACACATAAAGTAATTTTTACCTTTGGACCGCAAAGGAGTGTTCCATGTCTTTTTCATGGCTCTCAACACAAAACTGATGATGTTCTACAAAACAAAATTTACAACGTAAAATGCAATTAGTATCATTCCAACTCAAATTTTGTGTATATAATATCTGAGCATTCAGTAACCAAACCCTGATGAGAATTAAAGAAATCACCTTAAAGAGTGAAGTAAATAGGGTGATAAGGAAGACCCTAACCTTGTTGCTGTGTTGTGTCATATGGGTGAAGGCATCTGTTACCACAATATTCGCATTCTAAACCATGTAAATAACTGCAACTATTAAAAGATCACAATGCACAAAAAAGGCAATTTCAGCTCTCTTAAAAACTAGCTGGCTAAAGATTTGACTGAATAACTATAATTACTAATCAAAGTAAACCCATGGGGAACCCATGGATAATTGTTTAGAAAATCCTATTGCCACCTTAGTCCCACATCTTTGACATCAGAGCTTTCGCGCCACTATATTTCAACCACAAACTAAGCACACCAAATAACTACCTGCTGGTAAGGCCACTACTAGTAGAATTTTAAGCAAAAAGATTACCGAGAACTATAATTCCTATTATGCAGACAGTACTAATACAAATAACATTTCAGCAATAAAATAAGTAAGAAACAAAAATATTTTAAAAAACAGTATTCAGTTTAATTTATGAGTCAAGGCATAAACTTTACCATGATACTTAACACTTAGGCTACAGAAATTTCAGTCGAGGAAAGGCCTTACCATCTTAGAATTTCTCCATCCCTAGGCATAATATAGTTAGCTAGTATTTTAGTGTAAAACGCCTTTGAAAGAAACTTTTTGGACCCGACTAGTACAATCCACATTTCAACTCCTTGCTACTGGAGCCCCTGCTAGAGACTACGAAGTTTTGGGTATAAACAATACCACACTAAACAAGCGATTTACCGGTAACATTCTTCCTCTGTCATCTTACTAGAAATTAATTTTAAACTGCCCCATTACTTATGATTGGGATACTTGTTGTTAATTAGTAGCAAAATAAATCTCTTATGTTACCTTTCTTCCAAAGGGCAAACTCCTACTGCTGCGGCAAATGGACAGAGCTGACAAGTGCAGAGAGGAGATCATCAGTTTCAGCCTAGTTAAGTAACTTTTGCTTTAGCAAAATATAGCATGCAATTATTTTAGCATGAGAATGCTTTTTGGTTAAAATTTACAGTTTCTGAGTGCAAATTATCAAGGTTACCCGTTGGTGAAGCCCAGTCTTCCAGCCTTACACTTGATGAGGATATTCAATATACACCTATTTCAATAAAGGTTGCTTTGGGAATCGTGCTTAGGTCTTTGAAAGCCATTGTTTGGTGGTCACTCAAGCAAAGCATTGCATTGTATTGTATAATTTGTGTTCTGCATTTCAATGACCAAATCCCAAAGCAACCTTTATTGAAATAGGTGTATAACCACACCATGAAGAATATAGACCTTTCCCGTACTCCGCTACCATCAGCAAACATATAGAAATGAGGTTGAGGCTTGGGTGGACAATTTCATACAAATGACCCTATTTGTCTGCTGGACCCAAGCCTTGAGTTGGTGCCTTTGTTGATGGGAATGCGGGAAAGGTCTGTTATTTTAAATTATGTTATTATGCTTTTATGAAAAAAATAGAGTCAAACCCTTACCAAGTGACCATACCCAGGGAAGGGACAACGGGTTACTGAGGTTAGCCACTTAATTAACTGAGATTCTGTTTTCAGTGATTTACTGAATATGTGTCTGCTAGAACTCTCTTCATTAACTGGTCCTTAAATACATGCAGACAGTGGCCACATAAAAAGGACTTATTATGCCACAAATCTAACTTGAATAAACATCACACTCACCATTTGAGCAGCCTGTTCGTCAGTAAGTTCATCTACAAACTCTACACCACTCTGTGCAGCTGCAGAATATGACAAGGGACTGGAAACCTACATGATAAAAGAGGAACTACTTACTGCTAACAGTGACTGTATTATTCTGGCCCAGACTTAATAAAAACTGTCATTCTTTTCCTGACAATCTTGTTAATATGACTGGGATTTTATGCCAGGAATCACAGTTTTGTAAGAATTCTTCTGACCAATACTGGTTGTATTAATGGGGTTAATCCATTGTATACTCACTCCATTTAACGTGGGGCCAATAAATATTGCCATCCCCGCACCCTCGACACCCTAACATCATTTAAAATTAATTTTCTTGACAAAGTTTGAAATCATGCATCAAAGTTATTCAATTGACATATTTTTTTAAAATATTGTGACCAGTGATCGAACTACTGGTAATGGTTTCCCCAGCCTTACATTGTGGCTAGTGCACACTTTGTCCTTGGGCCATAAATCCAGGAAGAAAAACCTAATCAACTTGGTATGTAATTTTCAGTACAGAATGACAACATGTTTATTTAGTGGTATTTATGTGAGTGTGTTGACCAGCTAAACATCCCTAGATACAACAGACAATGTACATTTTAACTTGAAGTTTAACTGGTACATTTAAACTTACTGGTTTTGAAGTGTCAGTCTCTTTATCAGAGGAACTAATTCCTTGATAGGTTTGACCCTAGAGACAAAGAATTTATGACGAAATTTCAAAATAATCTGGTTAAATAGATGATCATTCTCAAACAAAAGAGTAGAGGTATTGAAGAAAAAGGCTGCTGTAACACCTAAAATAGCTTACCGGAACAAATGCAGGTGCATCTGCCCAGTTTTTAGGACGTTTTTGCTTGTTCTTTGTAAGGGTAACCATCTGCAATGGAATAGTAAAAGGGCTCTTAACAAAGATGGATCACCCAGAAAAAAAATTCCGAAAGACAGGCCTGGCCCCAGTTGTTCAAACATTAGATAGAGCTACTCTCCAGAGAAATCACTATCCAGTGGATAAGTATTAGGAAAAATGATTGCACTATCTACTGGATAGGATACAGTTATCCACCTTTTGAACAAGTAGAGACAGGAGACTTACCAGCTTTATTAAAGATACTTTTTATTAATTTATAGGCTAAAGAACTCTGATAGCATCTGCATCCAAAAAATTAAAGACTCTAGAGGACAGGTTTTACTCAGGGATGTCATTAAAATTTCAAGTTGCCAGGCTAATGATACATCGCGCCACTATATTTCAACCACAAACTAAGCACACCAAATAACTACCTGCTGGTAAGGCCACTACTAGTAGAACTACTTGGGAAGCAGCCGACTTTTTTGTGCTACATTTTCAAAATTAAAACTACTGATAGAAGGCACAGGTTGTCCATTTCAATGCCTTGATAAATAATTCCCAAGCTCAATATGATTACTGGCTATGGGTGCAATTGTATGCTACTTATTTTAAGCAAAAAGATCACCGAGAACTATAATTCCTATTATGCAGACAGTACTAATACAAATAACATTTCAGCAAAAAAATAAGTAAGAAACAAAAATATTTTAAAAAACAGTATTCAATTTAATTTATGAGTCAAAGCATAACCTTTACCATGATACTTGACACTTGGGGTACAGAAATTTCAGTCGAGGAAAGGCCTTACCGCCTTAGAATTTCTCCATCCCTAGGCATAATATAATTAGCTAGTTTTTTAGTGTAAAACGCCTTTGAAAGAAACTTTTTGGATCCGACTAGTACAATCCATATTTCAACTCCTTGCTACTGGAGCCCATGCAAGAGACTGCGAAGTTTTGGGAATAAACAATACCACACTAAACGCACGATTTACCGGCAACATTCTTCCTCTGTCATCTTACTGGATATTTAAACCGCCCCATTACTTATGATCGAGATACTTGTTGTTAATGTAAATGAGTAGCAAAATAAATCTCTTTTGTTACCTTTCTTCCAAAGGGCAAACTCCTACCGCTGCGGCAAATGGACAGAGCTGACAAGAGCAGAGAGGAGATCATCATTTTTGGCCTAGTTAAGTAACTTTTGCTTTAGCAAAATAAAGCACGCAATTTTTTTAGCATGAGAATGCTTTTTGGTTAAAATATATTAATTACAGTTTCTGAGTGCAAATTATCAAAGGTTACCAGCTGGCGAAGCCCAGTGTTCCAGCCTTGCACTTGATGAGGATATTCAATATAACCACACCATGAAGAATATGGACCTTTCCCATATTTCGCTACCGTGAGTAAACATAAAGAAATGAGGTTGAGGCTCGGGTGGACGATTTCATACAAATCACCGTATTTTGTCCGCTGGACCCAATCCTCAAATTGGAGCCTTTGTTGACAGGAATGCGGGAATGATCTGTTATTTTAAATAATGTTATTATGCTTTTATAAAAAAATAGAGTCAAACCTTTATCAAGTGACCATACCCAGGGAAGGGACAACTGGTTGCTGAGGTTGGCCACATAATTAACAGAGATTCTGTTTTCAGTGATTTACTGAATATGTGGCTGCTAGAACTCTCTTCATTAACTGGCCCTTAAATACATGCAGACAGTGGCCACATAAAAAGGACTTATTATGCCACAAATCTAACTTAAATAAACATCACACTCACCATTTGAGCAGCCTGTTCATCAGTAAGTTCATCTACAAACTCTACACCACTCTGTGCAGCTGCAGAATATGACAAGGGACTGGAAACCTACATGATGAAAGAGGAGCTACTTACTGCTAACAGTGTTATTCTGGCCCAGACTTAATAAAAACTGTCATTCTTTTCTTGACAATCTTGTTAATATGACTGGGATTTTATGCCAGGAATATCACAGTTTTGTAAGAATTCTTCCGACCAATACTGGTTGTATTAATGGGGTTAATCCATTGTATACTCACTCCATTTAACGTGGGGCCAACTGCCATCCCCGCACCCTCTACACCCTAACATCATTTAAAATTAATTTTCTTGACAAAGTTTGAAATCATGCATCAAAGTTATTCAACTGACATTTTTTTTTTAAATATTGTGACCAGTGATCAAACTACTGGTAATGGTTTCCCCAGCCATACATTGTAGCTAGTGCACACTTTGTCCTTGGGCCATAAATCCAGGAAGAAAAACCTAATCAATGTGGTATGTAATTTACAGTAAAGAATGACAACATGTTTATTTAGTGGCATTTATGTGGGTGTGTTGACCAGCTAAGCATCCCTAGATACAACAGACAATGTACATTTCAACTTGAAGTTTAACTGGTATATTTAAACTTACTGGTTTTGAAGTGTCAGTCTCTTTATCAGAGGAACTAATTCCTTGGTAGGTTTGACCCTAGAGAAAAAAAATTTATGACGAATTTCAAAATAATCTGGTTAAATAGATGATCATTCTCAAACAAAAGAGTAGAGGTATTGAGGAAAAAGGCTGCTGTAACACCTAAAATTGCTTACCGGAACAAATGCAGGAGCATCTGCCCAGTTTTTAGGACGTTTTTGCTTGTTCTTTGTAAGGGTAACCATCTGCAATGGAATAGTAAAAGGGCGCTTAACAAAGACAGATCACCCAGAAAAAAAATTCAGAAAGACAGGCCTGGCCCTAGTTGTTCAAACATTAGATAGAGCTATTCACCAGAGAAATCACTATCCAGTGGATAAGTATTAGGAAAAATGATTGCACCATCCACTGGATAGGATACAGTTATCCACCTTTTGAAGAAGTAGAGACAGGAGACTTACCAGCTTTATGAAAGATACTTTTTATTAATTTATAGGCTAAAGAACTCTGATAGCATCTGCATCCAAAAAATTAAAGACTCTAGAGGACAGGTTTTACTCAGGGATGTCATTAAAATTTCAAGTTGCCAGGCTAATGATACANCCTAGTTGTTCAAACATTAGATAGAGCTATTCACCAGAGAAATCACTATCCAGTGGATAAGTATTAGGAAAAATGATTGCACCATCCACTGGATAGGATACAGTTATCCACCTTTTGAAGAAGTAGAGACAGGAGACTTACCAGCTTTATGAAAGATACTTTTTATTAATTTATAGGCTAAAGAACTCTGATAGCATCTGCATCCAAAAAATTAAAGACTCTAGAGGACAGGTTTTACTCAGGGATGTCATTAAAATTTCAAGTTGCCAGGCTAATGATACAAGTAGACAGGGAATCCAAGAACAGGGATTTTGTTTGCTTCTATTTTTCTTCTATTTCCCTAGAAAAGTAGGCGGGGGTCATGTTTATAGTAGCTGGGGAAAATTGCCAGCCCACGGCCCTTAATGACAGCCCTGTTACTAAAAATTCTTTAAAGTTCACACAATTTCAGGCAAAAGGTCTGCCCTCTCCTCAATCATCTATGACCATCTACACATAACAAACAAGGAGGACCTTGCATGGTGGAGGAGGTTAGAACAAGATGATATACTTACAAAATTAAAACTGGTCATGCAATGCTTTGGTCATGCAATGCTTTGTCATACAATTTCTTTGGAAATACCCATGCAGTGACTTAATACATCTTATTGAAACTGAACATCAAGGTTGGAATTGTTAACATGGTGCCATTTGCAATGCAATTATTGCATTTTCAATTGAGACTTTTCCCAATAATAATAAACAATAGCCTGACCCCCAAAGCTTTAAAAGAAATATTCTGTGACATGTGACCACGCTATACTGCTTGTATATTGTATGACTAGAAGATTAGTCTATATATAGTCATTTTTAGTACCGTATGGTTCTCTTTATTTTCTTCTCTGTTTCGTGGTAATAAAGGTACTGGTTTAGGGCCAGAAGCACTCTTTGTCCTGTACAAATAGAAGACATTGTAGTAACATAGTCCCTCCAACAAAGAGAAACTAGTATATGTAGCTCTATGTCTGTGTGTCTGCTCAAATGGTGATACATTAGCAAAGGAAAACATTGTTGGTGTTGCTAATAAGTATTATTATACATTGCACTCATCAGCACAACCTACAGATAACTGACTAATCTGTACATCACAGGCACAATGCATGAATTCCAATAGCAATATCAACTCAGGTTCCTTGCGACGGTGTGTTTGTCGTTATTTTCTCCAAAACAATATATAATAAAACAATTATTAGATTGAGGTTTGTGATATCCTAAATAATCAAGGTCTTGGTAAGTGTTATCAGCCGAGCCAAAGGCCAAGGCTGATAACACCTATGTAAACCTTGATTATTCCAGATATCACAAAAACCTCATCCAATGGTTGTTTAAGGTGGGTGAACACAGTTTTTCGGGCGGTCAGCGGTAACTCACGTGATAGCGTGTGTTTTAAATTAGACAAACAAACATGGAAGGGAAAAAGCAATGGTACACAGAAGAAGATTTCTCAAATTCTACTCATTAAAGTTTTGTGATGTTTGGCAGAATTTTTACTTTTATCGTGATTCAAATAATGAGAGCTTCAAAATGGAAGTTGAACAGACAAATTTTGTGACACATTTACTAATAATAATTACAGTACAATAATATTATTGATTGTCTAAAAACCCGTCTGTTCAAAATTGGTCAAATAAGTTTCAAATGGTAATGATTAATAATATTATAGTAACCTGTGTGCAAGTTTATAGGAAAATCTAATGAGTGAATTTTATGTAAACTGAGCAAAAGTGAAATTTTAAGGTTGTATTCAATCGTTCATGTTGCCATGGAAACTACGAAAACGTCAAATTTTACTTGTCAATCAAAATCTTCAATCAGTATATTTTTCACTTGCCATTGAAGTTTCAGCTTGTGAGCTGCAACCTTTCTCTTGCCATGATTTGGCAAATGACATATACTCGCAAAATGTCAAAACTGTGTTCAGCCACCTTAAAGTAAGTAATATTGTTACATGCAGTTTGGATCCACAAAATTTGAAGCTTTATTAATTTGCTAAGGGAAGGAGGAAGAGAGATTCTGTGACAAGATAAAGCATAATGTTTTGATAAAAAGAGAGCAGATTTTTAGAAATGGAAGGTCGGCATAGCTGAGCCACACGATTTTTCAAATCTACTAAGAAATACAATGTACAAACTGCAGAACAGAATGCACAGATCACATCTTAAGTTGCCAAACACCGCAAGGTTAGCTCAGTCTGGAAAAGCGCCGGTCTACCGAGAAAAAGGCTGCTGGTTGCTGAAAGTGCATTTGCAAATGATTAGACTTTCCAGTCTTCTCAGATAAGGACGACAAACTGTAGTCCCTGTCTCACAACCCTTGCAGATGCATGGGACATTAAAGAACAGCACACACTGTTTGTAAAGAATGGAGGATGTAGTCCTTGTTGAGGTGGGGGAAGGGACTACTGTTACAGGCCCGCAGTAATTGGCACCATACACTGTTGCAGTTACCCTGCCAGCATTGGCAAACCTAAGTATATTATTTGTCACATGGGATAGACAATAACATGAAGTGTCAATAAACCAAATGTCTGTCCATGGCAATTTTGCACTTAGAAATAATAGAAATTACATAGAAACCTTGCAGATGGTGGCTTCACATGATCAAAACGGCAACTGCTTCCATAAGAACAGGCTCCTTGAAGGTAATACTTACAGACCTAAAGTTTGGGCAAAAATACAAGTTAATAATCACCTTTTACCTGGGAATTTGGAGAAATCAGAGAAATCAGAGCAAAAAACAGGGAATCCCTATAGAGCCAAGGATCTAGGCACCTGGGCTTATTAAAACTAGAGTATTTCATAAGAGTTCTGCCCTATCAATTTACAGTAAGTGGAGTGAAAGATATTGTTTGTTATACCAAGGTCTTGGAATTCATCATGTCACGTTCTATATACTGATAGGATCATGACAATAATAATAATATTAATATTTAATACTTATATTGCGCTTTTTCTATAAAAATACTCAAAAGCGCATTACAATATTATTAATAACAAAATTAAAAACCAGTAAAATTACCCGGTAAAATTACAATATTTAAAAATAAATAAATAAATAAATAATCTAACTAAAAGCCTTCTTAAATAGATATGTTTTAACAGAGCGTTTAAAAGAGTCGATTGATGTTTCCTGTCTTATTGGCAGAGGAAGACTGTTCCATAAAAAGGGGGCAGCCATTGATAACGCGCGATCTCCCAAAGACTTCTTCGTTCTTAGCCGAGGCCTCTCTAACAATATACCATTATTGTTACGGCGTAGTTGACCATAATTTTAAAAAAAATTGTACCCATGTCTGCATATACTAAAACCCACGCTGCAGTTCTAAGAACCTACCATGGAAGGTTTATCTTTTAAATCATGTGAATACTGACAATTCTCTCCTTCTCTGCAGGCTCCATGCATGTAGTACCTTAATTGGGATAGACACAGTAAGTTATAGAATAAAGCCATGACTAAGACTGTTTCAAGACTGTAGGGAAGCAGTGCGACAGATAGCATTGTGGTTAAAAACAAAAAGGTAGGAAAAAGCGCGATAGCCCATGAATACAGCCATATCTGCTTGCTCCTCACCGCTGGCGACATTTCGTGGGAGAGACGTCTGTGTCTCAATGACAGAAATGCTATACTGATGATGCAAAGTCTGCCCAGAATCTGGTCAGGAGCTCTGATTGGTTGACATTATAATATCGCTATCTCCTTTAAGCTATCATTTACTAAACACAGACAGAGACAAAAGGTCACAAAGGTCAAAATTTGAATGAATCTACTGCAAAACAGTCATTATTCTTGGAATATATTCGTCTTCAGAGGAAACATCTGAGTTTTTCTATTGCTTGTTTGCGGAGAAATAGACCAGGAGAAACATAAACTCAAAACAAAATTTACATCTGACGCATTTGGAACCACATGACAACCAGATTAATTAGGCAAACATTGACTTAAGTCATCAGTATGGCATTTCTGTCATTGACGGAAAGATGTCTCTCTGGAAACGACCCAGTCAGGGAAGAGCGAGCAGAGATGGTTGTATTCACAGGCTAAAAAGGCAAGAGATTCACCTTTATTCTTTGCATTGCTTCACTTTGAAAGGTTATCATTAGATCCAGGGTTTGCAAGTTTTATTGATGAGTGGAGTCAGTGTGACTTCTGCTTCACAAATTTTGGAGTCATTTTGGAATATTTGGAGTCAAGTACCACAACGAAAAAAGCCATTTTCAGACTTTCCAGCACGCGGTCCTGGCATGTATACACTATCGTGAGGGATACACGAGGTAGCTGTGGCGGTCCGCTGACCTGGAAAGCTCAAATCCATGATGGCGGTCATCGAGTAAACTTTGATCGTAATTTACCTTCTTCCTGTTTTGTCGTGCAGTATAATTCTTTAATTTCGATGATTTACTTAAGGTTTACAACGTTTACAATTAACGTGAATTGTATTTGATGTGAAAAAGGTAAGGACAAAACTGTGCTTGTTACCGCAAATTTCTGGAGTCGAAGTGGCTCCCTGTTTGTTACCGAAAACTTCTGGAGTCGAAGTGACTCCCTCCGTAACCTCCGTGGAGTCATCTGAACAATTTTGGCGTAAAATACGCCAAATTTGGCGTATTTGTGAACCCTGAGATCCCATCAACCGTAGCCCCTTCGGACACCTCATGTAATTTACACAGCGTAGTTTTCCCCTTTACTAATTAGGGTTAAGCACTGTTTCGAAACTGGTTAGTCCTTTTTTGAGGGTTGGGGTTGATGCTTTATATTGTGAAATTATTTCCCTGCCAGCCAACAAATCCTCAGTGGTCTAGTGGTTAGTGTGGTATACTAGGTGTCCTGGGTCGTGGGTTCAAATCCTACTGTCTTTCATATCAAACATTTTTTTCCTTTAAATTGAAGAAACTTGCACTTTCATGAACATTTCCAGCTTGAAAGATCACCTCTAAGTGTGATATGTTCTACATTGTGTAAATTTCATAAGGGGAGAAAGGGGCTACGGCCAATGGGATCTAATGCTGACCACTTTAAAATGTATCTCTACCATCTAAATGGCTGGAACCAGAGGGGTGGAATCTCATTTGGGGGCCATTTTGGCATCAGTTAGGATGTTTTTCAGGGTCTTGAGCCTCAGACAGGGTATAGAATTTTGTTATTTAGTGTCTTGAACAGGGTTCTTTTTGGACCAGAAGCCTGTAAAGTGTGAAGGTTTGTAGAGGTGTGTAAAGGTTTGTAAAACCAAAACCAGTGATGGACCATGATCCAAGTGATATGAAATATGATAAATCCTGATCACAGACCATTATGTCGTTAATATATACTATAGGGTCAACCTCTCGATTTCTCCTTTCAAAAGGTATTTTATGTTTATTTCTTATCTCTTGAATAAAGTATTGTGATTGATTGAGTGATTACAATCACAATGAAACGCATCCAGTTTAATGACTTCCAAAGGGCAACCACAAATAAGAAAACTGATTCTTTGGTGAGATGTGTGGGGAACTGTTTAAATTCACCAACACATTTAAAACGAGACTCGCATTGGACTTTAATTACCACAGCCTTGGAGAATATCAGATATAAGCACACATTTATTGAACAACATTACCTGCAAAGGATCTGCTTTGTGGTGGATGAAGATAACCTATAAAGAACAATGATCATGTTAAATATAAGCGAAGAAATGAACAAAAGCCTTCTGCTTCACGTACCCTTGATGGACAGCCATTCGTAGACTCTTAGCCTGCGTAGCAAGCGTTTCCAATGGCTAGTAAACTCTTAAGGATAGCAGATCTGATTGCATGGAAGTGAGCAAATCGAGAAAATTAATTTATTTTGAGGATTTACCGCTGACCAAATTTGCCATGACTTGTGGGTATTTACTTGACGCCATTAGTGCGCATGCCTGCCACGTCATCCAGCTGACATGAAGTACCACGGGCCAAAAACACCGGCAAATTTCGCAGACTGTCAGTGAGTGCAAGTTGTTTAGGTGGCAGCGGGGCAAAATGGCTGGAAAATTTCTTACACTTGTTCTGTTCTGTTCTGTTTTTGTTGCGGTATATGCTCACGACTCCCATCACGGACATAGCCACGAACATCACCATCATGGACATAGCCATCACGAACCCAGCCACGATCATCATCATCATCATCATCACGGACATAGCCATGATTTTGAAGACGAACATATTGATGAACATCCTGCCCGAAAATATCAACAAAAAGCAAATACTCCGAATCCAAGCAGTCATTCTTCAGCCAAAAAACCTGTTACAACTCAAGCCTCAAATGGGAAATGGACAAAATGGCTTCAGGCGATAGGAGCGACTTTGCTGATTAGTGCTGCCCCTTTCTTCATCCTATTTTTCATCCCACTACAAAGCAATACGGCTGACCAGCAACCACTGTTAAAAGTACTTCTAGCTTTTGCTTCTGGAGGGCTCTTAGGAGATGCTTTTCTTCATCTGATCCCCCATGCGATTTCACCACATTCGCACCACGGCGATCACGAACACTCTCATTCTCACTCGCATGGTTCTCACGAAAGCGGTCATGATCATTCGTCCGAAATGGCTGTGGGTCTTTGGGTTTTAGCTGGCTTGATAGCCTTTCTAATGGTTGAAAAGTTTGTGAGGCTGGTCAAGGGAGGCCATGGCCATTCACATGGTGCCCCTAAAACCGACCACGATTCAAATTCTGTTAAGAACGGAGAGGTCGTAACAGAAAAAGACGCAGATGAGGTACCCGAAGAGAATGACAAGGAGTTGCGCGAAAGAAAAAAGACTGATGAAGTCGCTCAAAAGGAAATAAAAGCAAAAACTGCGTCGGGTGAGTTAAGATTTTTACTCCAAATCGAAGGTTACGTGGATATTTGGAAGCCATTTGAAGTAGGTCACGTGTCGTAAATTTTTAATTTTACTTTTCTAATAATTACGAGGATTTCTTTCTGTTTTTGAAGACCCTTTTTAATCAGTTTGAAATATTATTTGACACGTAAGTGTTTCTCGTCGAATTTATTCAATTTGTACTGTGCGAATGTTTGTTTTCCCTAGATGAATTTCCACAACCACGGGTATCGGAAAAGCAACGAAGAAAATTGATTTCCGAGTCAGTGAGCCAGAAGAGTACTAGAAAATTTCTTGTTAATCCTAACAGCTGCTATTTTCCCATGAACTCATCTTTTAAAATCGCCGCGTTTTGGTGTATTTTTTCAGCTTTTAGGAGAATTTTAAGGACTTCAAAGTAAACATACAGCGATCGAACATAAAATTGTATGCAAATTTTGTCTCGTTGACGTGTCAATACGAAATTGATCCTCGTGCCTGAAAAAATACAACTGGGTAATTGTTTGGAAAAAAGGGGTTTTTTAGACATCTTAGACAGGATGCAAGTGTCAGGGTTGCTTGTTTATAAAGTTCATTTACTCTCAAGAATGTGAAAGTTTTTTTAGCTCATATTTTTAAAACAATTTTCATACAAAAAATTAGATTTATTGTGGTATAAACTGAAAAATTAAACTAAAATTCCCACCACCTCATTTTTTTGAGATAGCTCTCTGGAAAAAAAAACTTTCCTGATACACTCCCTGTTATCAGCTTGTTTGAGAAACAGCCTAAAATAATAAGAAAAGTAACACCATTTTGGGCACAGAGGAAGGAGGGTGGGGGGGGGTTGGTGTATGAAAACGGAACATGCCCAAGAATAAATTAACTATTTCTTCCCCAGAAGTGACCAAAATCATATTTCAATGAAATTTGCAAACTTTATTTCTGTTCAATGCTGATAAACATAAATAATACCATGTGAGAGTACTGGGGTTCCATGTTTTTGAATGGTCACACTGGCCCATAGTATAATTTTTTTCATCAGCTTGTAGTTAGAATGACTTAACAAGAGACACCATTATTGAAAAAGAAAGAGTGATGATATTGAAGCAGAGAAAAAATAAGTTTTTGAAATCTCTGATAATTGAAAAAGCAATATTTTCATTCTTTTTTGAATTTGATCGCACTGTTCTGTGGTTGTCATAACAACATTTCTTCCATCATGTAATTTGCTGAATTTTGAAATAGGAAGGGTTTGAATTGGAAGACTTTGGGGTTAGATTTTATAAATAATTATTCGTCTGTTGTTTCTTTGTAGTTCCGCATGATCATGGCGATGATATAAAGGTGGCAGGCTACTTAAATCTCGCTGCAGATTTCACTCACAATTTTACTGATGGTCTAGCCATTGGAGCCTCATTTCTTGTGAGTCGTAATCTTGGTGTAATCACCACTTTTACGATCCTTCTTCATGAAGTTCCTCATGAGATTGGAGATTTTGCAATTCTTGTTCAGTCTGGTTGCAACAAGAGAAAGGTAGGCAGATTTGCAGTTGAATTCAGCTGGCTTGCAGCGGTCATTAGTTGCAACTGAGTTAGTATTGCTTTGGTAAAACTTCTGAAAATTCTTAGGCATGCCTTCTTAAAATTAAAAAATATATTTTGTGAAGATATGATGTGAAAATATATTTTGTGAAGCATAAAGATGTTTAAAGTTCCAATATATAGAACTTTTCTATACACAAACCATATTTTTTCCTTAGCTTTTGATCTTGATAATGATGACAAGAAGCCATTTGAAACACCAAGTTTCTGTATATCATCGATTTTTGTTTTATTAAAGTGAATCCGATTCGGTAATCACTCAGAAAAAACCTTGATTTGTGATCACCCATGTGATCACTACATGCTTATTTCTTTGTATTAAGTCTCTTACCTCAGAAAAAAACTTCACTGTATGACACACTGAGCTTAAATTTTCTGGTTTTTATTATTATTACTTTTTAATTTCAGGCAATGTTACTTCAACTGACAACTGCAACTGGTGCCTTGGCTGGGACATTTTGTGGCTTACTTGCGGAAAACATTGGGGAGTCTGCTGCTACACTATGGATCCTACCTTTCACAGCAGGAGGTTTTATTTATATCGCCACAGTGTCTGTTATTCCTGAATTACTGGAGGACACCAAAATTGGCCAGACCATTAAAGAACTTGTAGGATTATTTGTCGGGGTCTTGATGATGGTCCTAATTGCTAAGTTTGAGTAATTTTATTCTGTAGTGAATGTTGAGGGTAATGTTGACATCTTGATCAGTTCAATCACTTTGGTTAATCCCACGGGACTTTCCTGTTTCTTGTTTTCATGGCTTTGGGAACAACATTCCTGATTATCTGAAAGCCACGAGCATGCTATTTTTTAATCAAAGGTCATGCTTTACCTATATGAAAACATAACTAGGTAAGTCCACGATGTCCCCAATAGTAATACAGCCTGTAGAGTATTCATTTGGTTGTATTTGGAAGAAGATTTCACGGAAAGATTAGTACAATAATACCGGTATTATATTTCGTGAACTTTGTCATGTACAAGAGACTGCATTTTTTTGTTGGTTGATTACATTAGTTGGGAACGTAAGATTGAGATCCCATTCTACCACCCACCAAATACAGACAGCTACAGTAGTTGGTCCTGGTTCAGTACAGAACAGAACACCTTGTGATGTGCTTAAAATTATCACAGTAATACTGATGTTTTTTGTTACTCTTGTAACAATGAGTGTTTGACTGAAGAGTTAGGAATATTTTTCTTGTAAAGTTGTATTCTCCTCAAAAATGAGGTTATAATTAAAAGTCTGTAATTGTTAATTGTTCGATGAAATGTTTTAACTTTGTCGTTTCATCGTTATACAGGAAAATGTTTTTGTTATACAGAAAACCACAACATCCACAGGACAGCTTTGAGCTAATATCCTTTTTGTTAAGCTAAGTTGAGGATAACTAAAGTGTATAAAAAGGGGAAAATTTATTTTTCAGAGATTTTGCCACATTTGAGTAAATGTTGTACAAAAAGGAAATTACCCAACTATAAGAAAGCTTCTGTTTTGTAAATTTTTTTATGTATGTGCCATAAATTATTTCAAAGTTCAAATTTCTAGGTTCTGATAGATATGTTTAAATGAAGTATTGGGTAGATTATTGCCCCAAGTGGTCCCAAGAGGTTCCTGATCGAATGTTAAATTTTTGCTTTGACTCTCACAAGCATAAATAAGACAGATCAGAAGGAAATCTAACAGTTAAACAAAGAGAAGTATTCAGATTGATGCTATAAAGTAAAAACCTTTGACTAAAAACCCGCATTTTCCCAAATTAGCCTTAACAGGTTCTTGCATAAATGGTACCTTAAAATTCCGAAAATAAGCCCTGGGGCTTATATTTTTCAAAGGCCCTTTTTGAGGGGGTTAATTTTTGGAGGGGCTTATCTACAGAGGGAAATTTGCATTTCACAATCGATTGGGCTAGCCTTATAGTTGGAAGTAAATTTACCGTTTTTGCTTTGCTTTATACTTTGTATTTGAGGGCAATTTTCTAAGTACAAGCCCCCAGGGGGCTTATATTTGGAGGGGCAATTAAACAGAGAGTTTTTTTCTTTACCGGCTTTGGGGGCCTATATTTGGAGGGGCTTATACATGGAGGGGCTTATTTTCGGAATTTTACGGTAATTAAAAAAAGCTCATATTTAGACTATTTAGGTTCTTAAATAGGTTCTTACTCTCTGAGGAAAAAAAATACATAGTGAAACTAAGAGTATTTTAGTGGTATTCAGCTTATTGAGTCCTTTTTCCTATTTACAATTGCAGTTGGAGTGATATTAGGACACTTTTGTCTCCAAAGAGGATCCTGAAATTATGTTGACCAACTAAAATTATCTTATTTGCCCAAGTGTACAGATTTCTTTTTATTGATTTTAGAAAATAAAAACCTGTTACAAATTTTAGGCTAAAGAGGTTCTTGTATAGAGGGTGCCTAACTGGCCAATTTTATCCTAACAGGTTCTTAAAACCAGGTTCTTAGTCGCAGGTTTTTACTGTATGGCATAACCCTTCATTTCTCCTTGAAATATGGAGTACACTCAAATTTATTAATGTGTGTCTGTAGTTTCTGCAGCAGCAATGTTTGGTAGTCAAAGGGTGTTAATTGTATAAAGAAGTGATGAATAACAATAGTATTTAATTGTTATACAATTTTTATCCTTCTTTACATTTTCAACAAATCTTTTAGAGGAGTTGACCATTAGTTGTCCATAGTTTATATGATTTTGCAGAGTCCACCATTTTTAAAGCCTTTTTACCAAAACTTCATTTAGATGCTAACAGTTACTACCTTGGTTCCATGGTTTTCTCCCTCGTCAGTTTTGGTACATCTTGCCATTTAGCAGGTTTCTGGGAAACTGCCCACTTACCCCTCCCCTAACCCAACATTTTGCCCCAATATTCTTTAGGACAAGTCTGCCTTATGTATAATTTGTAGTTATTTTTTTATCTCAGTCAATTTTTATTTTTCTATTGTTTTTGGGTATGGTAATGTATGCTAATGAATTTGAAACAAAGGAAAAATAAAAATTAACTGAAATAAATAATTAATTGCAACTTTTACAATATAATCATTGGTAATGTGGTTGTCAAAATTTCAACTCATGAGCATGGATAATACTATAAGCTATAAAATCCAAAAAATGGACTTAATAGATTTGAAAAGTCTTGGGTTTATAGTAGCTTATGTAACAACGACAGAAAACAACTTACAACACTTAATTTGTGCAACACAATTTTCCCGTTACAGCAATTGCAAATATCACAGAGTAAATGTATGAAGGAGGATGTGGAGGTTTTTAAAGTTTCCATCAGTAAGTAGGATAAAAAAGAAACTAGTAAGTTTCTAAAATAAACACTGTGTTGCCCGGTCAGTTGTCAATACAGGGATGATAGCAGGGGAACAGATAGAGAAAGTTCAGAAAAGGGGAGGGGGGGAAGCGTAACACTTTACAACTATAAAGATACCAAATTATTTACTGAGTATTTTATGAAATTCCAAAGAAAAATGGAGGCAGTCCCCCTAAGCTCCCCCCCCGCCAAAAAAAAAATCTAGCCTGTGTGGCTGGTACAGAGAAGGGGAGGGGAAGGGGAAAAGCGCAAAAGGGAAAAGGGAGGGGTCAATTCCCTTCTTTCCCTAATCCCCTCTCCCTTCACCCTCCCCTCCCTTTTCGAGCAGGCTACTCACAACAAGTTGTTATTACCATTGGATTGCTTACTATGAAGAGATCCGAAAGTCGACACATCGGAATGGCAGGTCAGCTCTGCATTTATGTTTTCTGAATCTCACGCGGTAAACATTGGTCAGTTCATTCACAGTAGAGGTCCCTTGTTCGAGCCCTGAGCTATAAATACAACCCGGAAGTTAGACTCCACGGTCACGCTTGTAAATAGGATCTGGAAGGGACAGGGGTTCTGATCCCGCATTCCCGCATCTTTTTCGCTAGAATCCCGCATCCCGAGCTTCTATCATCGCCATCCCGAAAATCATATCGTTTTCTCGGGATTCCAGAATCCGCGAAAATTTTGCTTATGGAATCCGAAATCCTGGCATTTGTAATCCGGAATACAGCTCAAGGAATCCGAAATCCCACTAACGACTAGAATCCAGAATCCAAGACTTTCCTGGATTCTCTTACATGGGGCGAGTTTTCTATCCCAATGTAATGTAATGTAATGTAATGTTCTGCATTAGAGGACAACAAGACGCACCCTCTTTACTTATTAACATGTTAACAGTAATCTCGGACGTCAGCAGATAGGGCGCCACTGGCAACCGCTATCATTCCATTTATGACCTTACTGTAACCCACCCATAGCCCATGATATGAATCAAAGAGGACAGAATGCAAATTGTGATGCGTGTAAGGTAGACCATACCTAATCCAGTATCGTGCCCAAAATTTTGGCGAATCACGCTTCTCAGGTAGCAGTTAAGTCCTGTATACCATAAACGTTTCCCCAATCCCGCACAGCATGTATTTTAGTCATATCCAAGAACCCGGGAATACCTTTCCAGATGCTGTGTAAATAGCCAGCTGGTTTGTCCCTTTATCGGGGGCACCCAATGACGGTTTCCTTCTAAATACATATCATTCAAAACGCTTTTTAGGCTGTTCAGAGTACTTTTAGATCTCTAGAAATGCATTCTAAGCGGCGCATATAAAACTGGTACCTGTTCGTTCATTCTAGAGGAGCTTGAGTCTTTTGGAAATCACAAGGGCTTCAGTATTATTTTCCCCAAAATTTTAGATGCAATTTAACGTATTACGAAATTGAGAATTTTTCTGACTCCTCTTTTCATCACACTTTTA